CCCCCCCCCCCCCCCCCTTCCCCCGGCACCACCTCAGAGCATGCTGCGCTTTGGCTGCTGGGCCAGGCCGAGTCCCTGAGCATTCCCAGAGCCTCAGAGAGCACTGCGATCGGCACTGAAGTGGAGGTAGTATATGGGGGTTTCGGGCTTAGGGTTTAGGNNCAAAAATTGGGGTACCTTATGTTGGGGTCCTTATATTAAGGATCCTATTATTTAGGGTACTATATTAGGGTTCCCTATTTTCGGAAACCCCCATATAATATAGTGAAGTACAGTGTAGTGTGGTGGATAGTATATAGGATATCGTATATAACATATAGTATGTAGTATATAGTAGATCGTCTACCGTAGTTCGATGAATATGATATGGTAAGCTATATAGTATAAACTAAAAATGTAATTAGTATTGTGTTTGCGCCATAAGGCGAGGTATATGTAAATGCTCCGAATGTTAGGCTTTTCCTATGTAAATGCGGGTCAGATATGAAATTAAGAGGAATAGGAAATTGCATCGGCGAGTTTGAAAACACGAGCTCTTACAGGAGCCTCTGGATTCCCTATTGTTTCTCTGCTCTTCCTCCTCTATAGTCCCTCCCCTATGTTGTCTCTGGCTAATCACATTCATATGAGAGGAGCCCCCGGATTCCCCATGTTTTTATCCCCCCTATGTGTTGCTGATTGCTGCTTTTTGTTTTTCCTACCAGACCGTATTCAGTTTCAGTTACTTTCTGGAACAGAAATTTCCGATCCGTACTTGCTTCCTGCCTTCGTTATCTAAACTGATGGCAGCATGATCTAGCATTTGCACTGCGCCTTTATAACTTTTGGTCTGAAGTGCTGCCATAGCAGCCCCAAACAGCGGCCAACAGAACGGACTTTCCAGACGGGAGCACTCTTCCACTTCTCGATGCCAGCTCAGACCTCCAGCACATGAAGTTGGCTCATTTGCATTCTTGGTAGTGCTATCAAAGCAGTGCCCTACCTAGCCACGAGGCCGCGGGCTCATCCAGCAACCAGCTCGAACGCGGAGAGATGCCGTCGGGGTCAGCGGCGATGAGGGCCTAACAACCCAGAGACTCCAAAACCCCTTAATGAAGGAATATACCTTAAATTATCATAGGATCCCTAATATGATTTAAGGTATATTCCTTAATTAAGGGGTTTTGGAGTCTCTGGGAAGCGCAGACTTCTCAGGTCTTCCTCACCGTCGCCATTCTGCCGTCTTTCCAGGTCGCCACATAGAGGCGGGGCAAAATTAAAAAGTAGGAAAGCTAAACCAACGAACAAATGAGCGCGGAGCTCATAGACAGCGAAAGATGTGCCAAAAGATTTCATGTGTTTGAGATGCGTGCTGACTTGTTTATTTACTGAGTCTGGTCCGGGAGTCCGACAAAGCAGTGTCTGACTGCATGATACGGCAAGGTAGCTCGGTAGACAAGACTTTGCCACACAGACGGCACAAAGACATGCGGCAGAAAACAGACTTGTCAACCAAGTGGCCGAGGAAAACTGGCTGTGGAGGAAAGGATGAGGGATGCTAACAAGAACGACCATCGTTATTGCACTCGGAATTGTGGACAGCATCCCAGAGAGTGTGGCAAGCTGATGCATCTGAGCTCCGAGCTGCAGAAACCAAGGCCTTCAAGGTCAAGGAGGCTGCCGAAACGGAAGCTCCCAACACGTTCTCCACGTCTGCCTGGTTGCTTGTGGCTTCTAAACATGAGCAGGCGTGCGTCTGCATGCACATTGAGGTTTCGGATTCCACTCTGTTGCAGCGATGGCATGGGGATTGCTGGCTTCTTGCCGGAAACTCGACCCTATACTATGCTGTACTATGCTAGACTATCCTATACTATATTGTACCTCTACCATCTACTATATGCTAGACTATAGACTATGCCACACTATACGATACCAGAGGAGAAGACACTCTGCCTTTACGATGCGGTACCATACTCTGCTATCCTAAACTATCAAGTGCTACACTGAAGATTACAGGGAGCATGCTCAATGTCTTGGACTCAGGCGGGAAATCCATACTTCGCCAATGCACCAACCTCTGCAAGGTCGAAGATCGCCGCCCTGAGACCGTCCCAAGAAACTTCGAAGCCTAAACTTAAGGATCTTAGGGTTAAGGGCCAGGGCTATAATAGTAAACAGCGTAAACCTTTCAGAGCTCAGCGCCCTACCTGTAGTAGGAGATCTGGTAATACGCCAGGAAGGGGAAGTAGAGCGAGACGTTTCTCTGGAGCGACTCAGCGAAACCAAGTGCCCCACTACGGGCCCTTCTTTGCATCCATCATTGGTCTAAAGGCATCTGGCAATCAGGGTCCCTTCTTTGGGGTCCCTGCAAGACAGGATTCTGCTCTTGAGTTTGGCATGCAGACAGATGGTCAACATGACACTGGAATGGAATGGGCAGAACAGCGCCGTGCAAAACAGGGGCACTTGACATCCTTCCGGAAATGGGGCTTCAGAGGCTTTGCTGGCGCCTGCCAGTGTCGACCCAAGGCACGCCAGAGGAGGCAAACACTGAGCGGGTGCTGCACATGATTTTGATCTAGCATGACGGTCCAGAGACCACGCTGGTGAAACTCTCGAAGAATTTGCTCGCTCGGTCTGGCAACATCTTTGGTAACCAGGACTGATGTCCACCACAGCCCAACCACCGTCCTCCCTTCTGAACCCCTTCCTGGCACGCTGAGGCAATCCTCAGGGCCGAGAGGATCAGTTTTCCGAGTCATCTTGCCTGATGCACACGAGGAAGACTACTGATCGGGAGACATGGTGAGTCTGTCTTGTGTGTCTTGTCGAAGAACAGCACAAGCAGAGCCAGTAAAGCAGTGAACAAAAACCTAGCAAGGTGCAGTGGCAGCACAGACGTTCGGAGTCCGGCAAAGGTCTGACGATAGTCTTGCTTCGCCCAGCCTCGTGACCACCCGTACCCTTGGTGAAACACGGGCTTCCATAGACTCCGGTCACCCGATACACAACCAAGCCCTGTGCTTGCACGGAGCAGGCGGAGCAGTGCGGCATGCACGCTCCTGGTGCAAAATTTCGGGCGAGTACGACGCAGAAAATAATACGGTTACTCCCCGCCCTCAGCCCTCAGCTCCTGGGCGAGGTGCGGCAGCGGCAGGGCCAAACCCAAGCTGCTGTGAATAAGCCGTCGGGCCGCTGCAGGTGGCCTTGTAACAACACAGCTGTTGCCTAGTGCTTGTCCCCGTTCCAGTTCACTGGGCCAACTGCGGCTTGAGCTGCCGGTCCCCGAAATCATCGGCCGCTGTTGCCTGGGCTCAGGCACACACACACACACACACAGAGACAGACACCTTGATTCAAGACTTCTCAGGGTGCAGTAGGCTCTGCAATAAGCTTTGGGCAAGCTCGACGGCCTTGCTGAAGGGCGAGAAGTGTCTCTCCAGCACAGATCCTTGGGAAAGGTCCAAACGGAACTCGCGCCACCGGCTGCGTCAGGCTCTGACCCAGTGGTCTGAAGCCCGCCATGGGAAATCTCAAGGGTGCCTCCAGTGGCTCTCGCTGGAACGACACTGCGAACCTAAAGTCTCCTTGGGGGAAGCGAGCCTGGTTCGCAGCACCGCGCATGAGGACGCTGAAGGCCTTGCCGCTCCTGGCAGACACCGCAACGGAGCAGAGCGTGTGCAGATGCTGCAGACGGGGCCAGGCTCACCCTTGGCATATGTGCGGCTGCAACGGCGGCGCGGAGATGCCTCTCAACCCAGCTTTGCACGGCAACACATCGAAGTGGTGGCAAGTGTGCTGAATGCTCCGTTCGGGCCTTCGCGCGCGAAGTCAAAGGCAACTCCCAGGAATCTCCCGTTCAACATAAAGGCCAGGCGGGGGCCTCGGACTAGATTGAAATTAGAAGCTGTGATTGTCTTCACGGCATGAATGAAAGCCTCGCTCCTGGATCCAGGGATCCCTTCATGGCAGATTTCCGTTGCATGGAAGATGTGCTACTTAGCTTCTCCGACTCTGGTTTGAAGACACTAAACCCTAAACCCTAAAACCCTATAAACCCTAAAACCCTAAACTCTAAACCCTAAACCCTAAAACCTAGACCCCGCAAGAAGCCCGCATTTGAGGACGGCCCCGCGTCCCTGCCGGATCCAAGGTTCGGACCGCACGCGTCTTCCGGCCAATCCAGAAGAGCCCCGACCTTCGGTTAGGGTTTAGGGTTTAGGGTTTAGGGTTCAGGGTTTAGGGTTTAGGGTTTGGGGTTTAGTCGGATTTAGGGTTTGGGGTTTAGTCGGATTTAGGGTTTGGGTTTAGGGTTTGGGGTTTGGGGCTTAGACTAAGAGCTCGTTTCGGCTGAGGTCCCCACAATGTCCCCGGGCCGGCCAAACGCAGGAACCGATCTCATGGGGCCTCACAGCACGTCCATACTCATGAGTTCAGGTCGCCTCGTTCTTGCTCCCTGAATCATCCCTAAAGCCTAAACCCCTAAACCCCTAAACCCCTAAACCCTAAAACCCTAAACCCTAAAACCCTAAAACCCTAAACCCTAAACCGTAGTCCAGTTGGACAGGATGGCATTCCAAAGAAGAGCCGGGTTTCCCCGGAACTTCACATCAAAGCATCCGAAAAGCGCTTGCTCTCGGCGATCCACCAGGGGACACGCGAGAGGAGCTGTGAGCCCTAAACCCTAAACCCTAAACCCTAAACCCTAAACCCTAAACGCTAAACCCTAAACCCTAAACCCAACACCCTAAACCCTAAACCCTAAACCCTAAAATGCCCTGGCCCTAAACGGTGAAGCCCCAAAAGCTCCACGACACCAGAAACCGTTAATCTAGGCGCCGTGATGACTTAGCATGGGGTTTTGGGGTATGGTTTATACATATGATATAACAAGGAACCCTAGGGAAGAGTATTTGGTATTATTGAGGCTTCTGTATTAAACGACTTCTGCAGCCTTCGCCGCCGATCAGCTCTCCGTCAGAAGAGAACCCAAGCATCCGGCACCTGAAGCGGAGTCTTTGTTTAGCGTGAAGGCGCTAGGGTCTAGGTCTTTAGGGTTTACGTGCCTGTTCATAATAAACCCTGGTGAACCCTTATTATAAAAGCCTCTTTTCAAGGCTGCAAACTCAAACCCCGAATCTGAATATCCAGACCTTGACTTTCTCTCTCTTTCTCTGGGGCTAAGGGGACCTGTCACAGCCCCGCAACTCCGCAGGGGGGCCCCGTTCTTCGGGGTGCTAGAACCATTGGCAATGCAACCAGCCTATGTCACGGACCAAGGCAACAACAAGGACTGCATCCGTCATTCACTCACAGGCTCACACTTCACTAGCTACGAGATATCGCTCCCCCGGCTTCGCACGTTGAAAATCCGGTCCCTCGAAACCCTGGACCTCTAAACTCTGAATCCCCAAACCCTTAAAACTTAATCCCGGAATCCCCAAACCCCTACACCACGAATGCCTAAACCCTTTAACCCCAAGTTCCCTAAAGCCCCATAAACTCGAAACCCCACGCCCGAAGTCTCTCTCTCTCTCTCTCTCTCTCTTCTCTCTCTCCTCTCTCCGATTCTTGAGGCCCAGGGCACGTCAAACCCTGAACCTCGCATGCGAACGTTTATCCCGGCAGGTTTTGCCCCCCCCCCCCTCCTTCAACCCTAAACCCTAAACCCTAAATCCTAAACCCTTCAGGATTTCATCTTATCCTTGGCAGCTCGGCCCTGAACCCTTAACCCTAAACCCTAAACCCTAAAACCCTAAAACCCTAAAGCCCTAGACCCTGAACCCTAAACCCTAAACCCTAAACCCTGTATTATTATTCTTATTATTACTATTCTTACTATTATTATTGTTATTTTTATTACCAACCTCGGCCTCTCTCGCTGCCCGCAGGCTTCGGCTTTGAGGGTCCGGCGCAGCGCTGCGACCGTTGCCCTCCAGAACCGACGGCAAGACCAGAGCCTGAGGAGTTCTGAAAAGAGGGCTCCCAAGGCTTTCTTGACGGTTCTATTTAAACAAAATCGAGCGCGATTCTATGATATGTTGATCGGGATTCTTTATCAGAATGTGATCGGGATTCTGTAAGAAGCTCATCACCTCTCTATAAGAACTAGGTTCTAGATCAGAATTCTGTAAGAATTTGATAGGGATTATGTACGAATTTGATCAGGATTATATGGGATTTTGATCGGCATTCCATGATTGTCTCTAGGTCTAGGATTTGAGAAAGCCTTACACGGGGTTTAAGGCCTTAGACTCACACTTTTTACAAGATCATGTGCTGTTTTTTATTATACTTGTGTTTAATGTTGTATAGTAGAGTAGAATGTGGTATGATAGAGTACACGAGTATAGTAAAACATGATGGGCGCTGTCTCACAATCTGAAGAAAGACTCTGAGCTTGAGGCGGCACTCCAGCCAATTGTTAGGGAGCCCCCACGGCGCAACTCCACCTGTGCTTGTTCAAACCGCTCACTCTCAAGCAACGCAGCCGCTCGCTGCTTCAAAGGTTGGCTTAAAGCCTCGAACTGGTAGCGGCCGCCGGCGACCAAGGGCAATCCCTTGATACCACCGGAGGCTGCACGGCTTGGGCTTGGCCCTGTACTCGCAGACGGTTCGCACCTATCAGCGCATTCCAGCACGGCGTTGCTGGCGGAATAGTATGTCTGAGGATCTAGCATGGCGCGAAGCCCATCTTTGGAGACTTCTATGCCTCGTCATCGAGCGTGGACCCCTCATAAATTGGATCAAGACAACAATCCTCTCTAACTTTACGCCCTCTTGATCCGATACCTCGACCCACTAAAGCCACATGTCCGCAACACCCCGAGACCCGGGCAGTCATCTTTCTGCAGCGGGTTCAAGCAGCAGGACCCTGGCTTCTCCAACGTCGCCTCGTGCACTCGACGGTGACCCATCCAAGCAGCATGCACAGTTACACATGGGTCGGTATGTGCATGTGTACCTACATGCGTATGTGTATGTCGTATGCACAAAAGGCCATGCAAATGCATATATATATATATATGTATGTATGTATACATACACACATGCATACACTCACACAGACAAGTATGTGTGTGTGTGTGTGCGTGTGTGTGTGTGTGTACATCTACATCTACACATATACATATACAAATACAGATACACACACGTACATGTACGCATGGGCATGCATATGGATACATGCATGCATGCATGTATATATATATATATACACACACACACACGTGCATGCATAAAGCCAACAGGCGGCGGAAGACAAGCAAGATATCCCTAAGGAGCATGCCAGACCCATTAATCGGAATGAGAGGAACACCCCTGCAAAATCGACAAGCTGTTCTCGCAGCCGATACGTGCATAAATGAACAAACCGTGCCCTGACGCCTACATCACCGAACAAGTCCGCGACAGTCTCGCCAAACCAGATCATCTCTACTGGGCCTCGAAGCGCCGCGCCAAAGCCCGGATGTTGGGACCCATCTTTTGCTTCGGCCTGATGCACTGGAGGACTTCTCCAAGGATGCCCTGGCTCTCATCGAGAGCTTAAGCTACTACCGGTAGCTGACCACATCAAACCGTACTTTTCGGGGTCACAATGAGGTCCGGTGTATACTATGTAGATGATTACGTACTGAGACCTGTAAAGGCATATGCAGATTGTGGCAGCTCAAGGTAGTCCGGGGCACCTGTTTCCCAGTGCTTCCTCTTCTTGCAGCTTGCGATGCCATGCAGCCTGCAGGACTGCCCCAAATCTGTCCGTGATTTGGGGCCATTGCCGGCTCCCTGCAACGCAAGATAGCTTCTAATGTGTCATAGAATAGGTGAACGTGTATTTTTTTGAAGCAGCATGTATGGCTCGTTATCTGTCATAGCAAAGGCAAAAGAATGGCTTCAAACAGGTACAGTGGGGCAGTTGGCTCTGAGGTGCCGCCTTGGTCTCTTTCCACTTAGCCAGCTCCAAGTGACGTCGCTTCTCGTGTGGAGGGATGTAGTGCCTTTTGCAATGTCTGGATGGTTTAGGGTTTAGGGTTTAGGGTTCAGGCGGCTCGAAAATGGGGCTCGGAAAAGATCTGAGCTGCATGCGCTTGCTTCGGCAGGTTCGCCTTCTTCGAGCCAGCCTTCCACACACATGTCATATCATACTTTATTACGCTAGAACATATTAGATCATATACTACAAAAGTTTTAATATATACGAATACTATATTATACTAGATAGTATTACCAGCCTTTCATGCCTATGTCAGCTGATGGCAGAGCCCAGTTTGCCAGCCCCTGGCCTCAGACGGCGCTGCCGGCACCAGCTGTGGCCTTGCCACTTCCGTCTCGAGGCACTTCATGGGCGATTTCAGCAATACAAAAAACGATTTAGGACTTGGGATTTAGGACATTCAATACAGTAGATGTTGATGACAATATGACTGAGAACCGTAATGATAAGCAACCAGAGATAACAATATAATGACAACAGCGTCCGATTTCGGCCTGCTGCGTAGCCGCACAACCTGCGCTTCTACAAGGATGTGAGGCAGTTCTTGGTAACACAAATACCCGAAGGGTCCATGCACCCAAATAGTATATACATTGGCCCTAAAGTACCTATATAGGGACTACATTAAGGCCAAAGTATATATATATGTATACACACTATTTGGGTACATGGACCCATCCGGATACAGCTCAAGAGGCCTTGGGAGCTGCCTGGCTCTTCTCTGGAACCAGTTTCGCGCGTTTTCGAGGCTTCGACTCCTTCACAGGATGCTTGGCTAATTATGTATGTACCTAGACCCCAAAGTATGTAGAATAATGGCCTTTAACTTATGTATGTATGTACCTAGACTGACCCCCCAAGTAGGTAGAGTAATAGCCCCTTTTAATGGCCTTGGAGCCATTATTCTACCTACTTTGGGGGGGCATAGGTCTTTGTATTTATAATCTGACACAGCGTGAACCGGCCGGGAACTCCTGGTTCGGCGAAATGTCTGCCGCCGGAACCAAGGAGGCCTAGCAAAGCGTGAGTGCCGAACAGAGAGGACCCGAGGACTCTCTACCCATAGGCCCCATGGTAGTTCCTTTTTTTCGGATTTATAGATAGTAGGATCCTAAAAAATCAGCCACAAAAAGGAACTACTATGGGGCCTATGGGTATAGTCACCATTGTAGTGGAGACTGTAGGAGAATCGACCCCAGGGCCTGGTGCCGTTTGGACCTGGGTTGCCAGATCCAGGAGGTGAATGAATGAAGGGTGCCACTTGGAGGTTCATGGGTAGTTATAAGTGGGGTTATGGGGTTCCTTTAAGGGGTTCTTTAGGGTTTAGGGTTTAGGGTAGTTATAAGTGGGGTTAAAAGTCCCCTAATATGGGTTATAATTATAGTTATCTTACTTATAACCCTACTTATAACTACCCATGAACCTCCAAGCAGGGATGCTTGAGCTCCGTACGCCACGGCATCGCCATTCACATGGCCGGCCTCGTTGCTCACCTCTACCTCCAACTCCCTCGCAGCCGCTTCAACATCCCATTCCTCCACGTCCACTTCCACATCGTCTGCAGCCTCCGGTTCCTCTTCCCCTTCTTCCAGCTCTACTTCCTCATCAGGGAGATACTCCACCTCCTCCTCAAGCTCCTCCAAGTTCTCCAAATCCTCCGGCTCCTCTTCGGGCTCTTCGCAGACGTCGCCATCTGGCTCATCCCAAGCCTGCGGCTGACGGCTCAGGATTCGACCAAAGAGAGAGAGAAAGGGAGAGACAGAGAGGGAGAGAGAGAGCGAGAAAGAGAGAGCTGAGAGAGAGAGCGAGGAGACATAAATACATCGACATACAGACGCATAAACAAATAGACTGACCAGCAGGCATACATGCACGCAGCTCTACATCCATGCATACAGAGATACGGACAAACATTCGGACGCACAGACAGACACACGTTCGGACAAACAGTACGCAGAAATTGTAGTACAAGATGCAAACCTGAATCTGTAAGACGCAGAAGCGCAGAACCTTCCCTCGGCCTGGTCGACGTCCACGGCTTTCTCTAACCATCTCTCGCCGTTATGCAGGTACTGCTGCTCCTGTGCGAAACGCAGTCTGCGGGAAGAATCAAAGTGTCATTCAACGAACTTCAGCCAGCTCACGAAAACATTGCAGCGGGCCTGCTCGAGGTCAGCATCGATCACGCCACCAAGCAAGGATTCCTGTGGATGACCAGGGCAAAAAGGGACGAGTAACCCTCAAAGGTCCTCTGCTTAGGGAGACCCCCCACCTGCAAACGCAGGCGCTTCCGGATCCGCCTCCTCGTCCTGCGAGGTGAGTCCTTGCCATGCAGAGAAGATGGGAATTCTAGGAAGCCTTCGTTTTGAGGGTTGTCTATAGGGAGTCTACCCATAGGCCCCATAGTAGCCCCTTTTGGGGATTCCTTATAGGATCCTATAATATAAGCCACAAAAAGGAACTACTATGGGGCCTATGGGTAGTGACTAGCGTAGCCGGCTTCAAGGCCTGCCATAGCACAGATCCTCTCTGCATCGCTGTGATGTCGGTGACAGTGACATCGTTGTCTGCATCACCTATGCTGCGGCGAGCAAAGGCCCCGGTGGACAGCGTGCGCCGACGAATGGATTTGGCCTTGTTCGAAGTGTTCAACTTCGTCATCGTCTTCAACCACCAGCGTCCTTGCTTCAGCAGAAACCGGTCCCAGCGATGTGCAGACACGAACTCTGCTAAGCCCTTTGCTCACCACGGGACCAAGCTTCTAGAAGGTCGGCATCGCGCACCTGCATGAGACACCTCAGACTCAGGTCCATCATCCATGAGACCTAAAATGCTAACCTCGACAACTCTGCTCAGGGAAGGACACATGCGACCCCGGACTTTTGTCCAGGTGCGGCCTCTTGGCCTTCCAACTTACGAGGTGTGAGCCCCACAGTACTGGGAGGCATGCAGGTGCCTCTTCAGACCTGTCCACTGTCTTTGTCGCCATGGCCTTCCTTTTCAGACGGCCGTGACTAGCACCACCAGCGCCACCTGGAGCTGGAAAGAGCTCTTGGAAAATGAATTATGGCGAACAACTGCTGCCATTAGGCATCTCACCGTCGCTCTCCACAGAGAGAGCTTTTCTGGCAACGCCATTCGTATGCTTCGGCGTTCGGCTCGAGATGTCCTCGACATCGCAAGGAAACGCGAGCCATGGAACCCTGATAGTACCTTTTATTGCAACCCTGAGAGGAACCTTAACAGTCTTAAGAGTACCCATAGGCATAGTAGTTCCTTTGTAGTGGCTCATATTTAGAATCCTAATAAGGTAATCCCAAAAAAGGAACTACTATGGGGCCTATGGGTAACCCCTAACTAAAGTACTTGATCCTAATCGTCGCCACCCTACCAGGGACCCTCTTGGTACCTCTTGCAGTAACCCTAATGTAGGGACCGCAATATTAAGGGCCCGATATTAACAATGACTTCAACAGCTCAACCCAACTCAGGGTGTCTCCTTCACATGCTCTTGAAGCGTCGGCATCTCAAGCTCCGCCCTGGGTTTTAAGTTCTGGCTTTGTGATCGTAGCATCCCGCGTGCGAGGTGGAGTCCCGGCCTTCTTAGGTGCTTCCTTCCGTTGGTGGCTGAAGACTTTAGCTCTGCTTCTCCGTGTCCCAGGGCCGGAGACAGGAGAACTCGCCCGCTGGGGCTAGCCCTCAGCTGCGTGGCGGGGACCGGCTAGGGCGCACCCAACTGAGTGAGTATGAGCCTGGGGCAGCGACACATTTCTCTGTTCTCGTGTTCTCGGCGCAAGGAGCGACGAAGCCCCATCAAAGTGGCCTTGCGGCACAGCAGCGGCTTCATGCGTCCATGCAACTCCAAACTGTCTCGTCGAGCGCACCCAAGCCTTCGTGACTTTTCCCTTTGCTTTGGCGCCTTGATGCAACTGCGATGAGCTCCTTCGAGACCTAACACATTGGATGCCCAGTCTGTCTGAAGAACGTTCAGGCAGGCTGGCTGGTACACTTCATTTCGGTCTTGCCTTCTGAAGGAAGGTCTCGCCACGTGGCGCAGGCATCGCAGCTCTACATGGCAATCATGATTTCTTCAACTTGTCAGATATTGACATGTTCGGTGAAGGGCCTTTCTCGTCTTAGGCACAGTCTCATGTGCTTTCCTATGTTGGACACGGGTTCGAATGGCTAGACTCGGCCGAGCAATTCTGCAATCGTGCTGCAGCATGCTACTCGTAGACGTGCCGAAGTCTAGGCAATTCCGCTGGCAGAAGCATTGAGCTCAAGCATAGAGGGAGACTCTGCTATCCTCAGTCGGATCTGCAACACCAGTACATGGACTTTGCACAGAGACCGCAGCAGGCTTGTAAGAAGACAGACAGGAATCTGGCCTGATCTGTCGGTGTCTGTGGGAAGCTGAGATCTTGCGGCACACCTGGCAATCGGCAAGGTGCGATGCTTAATGCTGAGGCAGTTTGCCTCACTCATGCTGTATTAACCTCTTGTAAAAGGCAGGAGGACCAGCACTCAAAGGACTTCCGCCGCCTGACCAACGCGGGGGTCTTGAGTTCGGCAGACACCAAAAACCCCGGTCACCCCCAGGTGGACGAGGCTGACGTGGCCTTCTGCGGCGGGCGGTGGTGCACTGACCGTTGGGTCCTCTTCAGGACTACAGGCAACGCAACGCGACTATACTGAAACTAATAGGATGCAGCTGCAACCTGCGTGCCTTGTCCCTGCAGTCCAAACTCCAAGGCAAACAACCGGCTTTGTGTTTGGACGGGCAGATGGCTGGCATCCAAGTCAAGCGGTATGCTTTGCACACACCGGTTCGTCGCTTCCATCTTGATGTTGTCACTTGTTGCTAAGGTGGTCTGTCATGCACTTCGTTGTACACCAGTGTCTCTACCATGAGCTCAGGATGCTGATGCTGCAATTGGCTCGTCACAGTTTGTCGCTGCTGCTTACCCGATCCAGACAATCCAAACCAGTAAATACGGTCGAAGTCGTTTCGTCTTGTTGATGGCTGATGACGTGGTGTTTGCACATTTCTTCCTGCGGCTCCTAGCAGGTCTCCTGCTTGACCTCCGTGATTCCTTGTTGGCTGTGTTTGTCTGTCTGTCTCCTCGACTCGTGGGAAGTTTCTTTGGGTTCTCCTGCGGGTCGCGCTGCTTTTTTTGTGTGTAGACGACGGCATCCCCGCAGCGAGTACAAGTTAACAGATGTCAGCCCAGGTAGGCAAGTAGAATTCCACTGACTCCTTCGTGCTCAGTAGTGCACCGGGGACCTCCGGACCTCGCTGTTTCACCAGAAGACTAACCCACAGGAACTGTTACTTACAACACTGTTGTGTCACAAGAAGTCCTCCACCGGCTCATCAATAGGCGCACCACCAAATGTTGGTGAAGCCGAGCGCGGCTGTCAGTGGGAGCTGTTCATCCCATTCAGCTTTGATATAGAAATTGCGCACCTCCCTGTCGCCACCTCCTTGTGGAGTAGCACCCAAGGCCTGTCCAGCCGGTCAAGTCAAAGCATAATAGGCCCATGCAGCCTTGATGCTTCTGGTGGAGATCGATACCTTACTGCTGCTTGCTTGCCTCACTGACCGCGTCCTCCTCAGTGCGTGTCAAGTGCATCAACCGTGCATCTCAGCCACAAGCACACTGCCACAGCGGTTCCTGGAGTTGCACCGACAGACCCATGCCAGCGTCTCTCGACGATGGCAGCGGGGACAGCTCGGGCGTTCTTGAATCTTTGAATCCTCAGGCTCGCGCCCCTGCAGCCCGCGTGCGAGAGTCAGATCCTGCCATGCAGGGGCTCAGCCCCGGTGTTGAAAGCGTCTTGTTTTGTCCAGTCTCTTCCCGCACCTGGCTCTGGGGACTGAGGATTGGCTGCCGTCTCCGTCTCCTGCGAGACCTCACCTGCGCCTGCTTTTGGGGAGTCTGAGGAAGAGATTTCCAAGCGACGCGACACCGAGCCGACCTGGCTCCGCCGCGGCAGAGCTCAGCTCATCCCCTGCCTGTCCACACACTCGCTCCCGTAACCCTGAGCCTAATTCCTAACCCCAAGTGCCCTTTACGCCCTAACCTAAACTCCTATGAATAATATAGGCCTACTGCACAACCTAGAATCTGATGTGCGTGATGCCCAACTTCAACAAGAGCTCCCGCGCCGGAGTGGTCTCCGACTTTGCCGGGCCCAGCTTCTGAGAGAGCTCAGCGAGCAGCTCTGCCTCACATGCGCGAGTCCCTCATCAGATCATGACTGTCGCAGCTGCTTTCCGGGGGCTACAGTAGGGTCTGGGGCTGTTTAATTGAAGGGGTTGGAACTCAAGTTGTACCACATAACACACCCAAGATCATGTAACAGCACATGTGGAGCACACCTCGTAGATCTCTCGAATTCGATAACCTGGATCTTCATCGTCGTGATACTCGTCGTTGACGTCCCATACCTGCGCGACATGCCGTAAAACGCAGCACCTCTGCTGCGAGTGGTTGGCCCTTTCACGCTCTCATGACATCTGGCTCGAGGTTTCGTGTCTTCGGGGCGTGGGCGGTTTTGGGCTGCCCGATTCTGGGAAGGCCACCCCCCCACAGCACATCCGTAGTAGTGAAAGCCGCCTCCTGCTGAGTTGCGTTTCTGCGCTTGGGCGGATAGTGCGCAGACCTCAGAGACTCTGAACCACTTTCAGGTGCCAGTCGAACCCCAAAGCCTGGACGTTAAACTCAAAACCCCTAAACCCTCGGACCCTAAACCTTAAACCCCTAAACCCTCAAACCCTACATCAAACGTCTGGGGCGCGGACGATTCAGGCTGTGCCAGAGTCGGAGCTGGTGTGGGCTCTACAGCAGGCTGGGCCTGTTTCAGAGACCACGTAAGACAACACTGCCGTCAGGACTTTGGGGTCTTAGGACGGCTCTAGCGCCAGGCGACTAGGGGTTCGTCTCATTCTTGTATGAAGTGTTAGGGAAACTCCCTAACATTACAGCAAGCTCCCAGACCTTGCCCAAACCTGTCCACCGTCAGAGCATCGGTACGGTCAAAGAAGGACTGGGAAGGTGCAAGTTCGCGAGCATAGCTTACCCGATCCCTCAAACCCTCACCGAACCAAAAATCCTAAACTCTCTAAATCTCAGACCCTAAGCACACTTTGCCCCAACCCCCGAAAACTCCAAGCAGGAAATGCCTCTGCAGCCTTGGGTAGTACTGGGACCTGGCAGCACTCTCCCCTTACGCGGCCCGCTGCCGGAGGCGCAGAGGTTTGGATTGTAGCTAGGCTGGGGCCCCAGCATTGTCTACGAAAGAAAGGTGTCTTCCATCCAACCAGAGAGGTGTTGCTTAGAGTGCTTCGGGTTTTAGTGGCTGGTGGCTGTTGCTGGGTCCTTGTCCAGGATAATAAGAGAGTTCACGACGTTCTGGGGAATGCACACCGGACGGCCGGTTAGAGCTGGCAAAAGACTCGACGGGCCTCCGTCTTGGACGTCTCCTTTGAGATGCTCTCCCAGAACCTGCGTCGTAGCTTCTGGCATTTCCCAAGAGGAAACTCGAGCCGTGTAACCCTACACCCTAAACCCCGAAACCCGAAAGCCCTAAACCCCTGAACCCCTAAGCCCTAAACCCCTATAAAACCTACAAGCCCTAAACCCTTAAGGCCTGTATGCATCCACATCGCTGGTATTCAGGATGTCGAGCGTGTGGCCCTCTTTGCCCTCCGGGCCATCCTCCCGCTTCGGACAGCTGACGCTAGGGTTTAGGGGTTAAGGGTGTAGGGTTTAGGGTTTAGGGGTTAAGGGTGTAAGGTTTAGGGCATCCTGCCGCTTCGGACAGCTGACACTTAAAATTGTTAGAAATACGACGACTATATTAATTTTAGGCAGTCAATATGAAAGAAAAACTACAACTATGTTAATAATAATCATACTGATACTAATTAATGATAATAACAATAATACTAATAGTAATGATAATACAAAATAATCCATAATAATACATAACAAGTAATAGATAATAAACCGCATTATTCCATGGCCATCTCTATGACGAGAGAGAGGGAGAGGGAGAGAGAGAGAGAGCTTTCCGGGTCCGTCGAGGCGAACTTGGGAAAGGCGTCGCTCTTCAAGGCCCCGTCAATGCAGGTTAGCAGCTTCTCGTCTGAAAGCGATTGCCTCCATGCTGGGTGGAATTCGGGTCCCTCTTTAGGCCCCCTTAAAGGGATCTATATGGGTTTCTATAAGGGTTCTATATGGGTAGTTCTCTAACTTAGGGTCCCTTTTTAGGCTCTCCCCCCCCCCCAAAAAAAAAAAAAGTACGGCACCCTTATGAAAAGGAGCCCCAAAAGGGGGCCCTAATTCAGAGAACTGCCCATTTCACAGCTCCAGCGAGTTCAGACTTCCCTCCCGCTGCAGCCAGGCGACCCAGTAGCCATGAGCTTGCGAAGGAGCGTGTCCAGCAGCTCATGCACCGAAGCCTGCCCAGCCCACGCTGTGTAAACTATGCCAAGGTCTCTACATCCGAAGCTAAGGCCTCCTGCGGATCCACCTGCTTCGGCTGAAAAGCCTCACGGCACAAGCTGCAAAGCCAAGCCTAGCGGCCTAGCAAGTCTGGCAAGAGAAAGCCGCACCTCGAGATCGGCCAGCAAGAGTGCGCAGTTGTCCAGGTGAGCCTTGAAGGACTTAACCAACTGGGCCTTGATGCGCAGTGCGGCTGCCACATTCCCATCTCCCTACCCTTCGATGACTTCGAGCTGTGAAGAGCCAGGGGCTCCGGCGTCGAAGGGCGGAGGCTTCTCTCGGCATTGGGCCTCAGAAGTGCATTGTCGCGGCTGGCATACGCAGATGCTCCAAAATCAGTAGCAGTGCCTTGATCGCAGCGGCAGCTGTGTTGAAGTGGCACAGGTCGAGGAACTGCGCTAGCAGGTCAAAGATGGCAGAAGAACCTTGGAAAAACTGGCGTGCAAAGCAGAATAGCTGCACTACGCAGGAACTGTGGAATGCAAAGTTCACGGCAGTCATCTTGAGCATTGGGAAGCAGTGTCATCGCACCGAGGTCTTGAATCAGAACTAGGTACTGTAGCTGGGCTGGGCGAGCGAGGCCTGTGATTCCACTTGCGCAAGCAAGATATTGAAGTAAAACCTCACATGCTGCGATTAGCGTGCCAATAAAGCGTTGCCTCACGATCCTCGATTTGTCTGTGTCTGTCTTATCTGATTGCCGCTTGCTTGAGGAGCAGATCAAACCGACATCTCTTCAAACAACATCTGGGGATTGTTCAAGCTCCAGCCTTCCAATTACCAGGTAACATTCAGGAACAAAATCTGGACAGGGTTCGGCCGGAATAACTTGGAACAACCTCCATATCACGGCAACACAGATCACAGCCAGGGGCGGGAGTACGTGCAAACTTGGATCGGTGCGCCCTCCTCAGCTGGGGCCTCTGCACAGAGCCCAGGTCATGCCAATCGACATGTGGGAGTGGTATGATTCTATATCACAAGTGGTCTCAGATGCCAGGCCTCGTCCAGCAACCTTAGCTTCTTGACGCGGTCGGCGATGTCCTCCGGCACGCAAAACTTGAGGGGCAGACTCGCTCGACATTTTTATGACATGTATTAACCCGAAGAAACTTTCGTTTGAAGAACTCCAAAACACTCATGGCAGGTACATAGTAATCACGAAGGCACCAAGAAACCTCCGCAAACCCCTTTTGTTGATCCTCATGGAACCCTTCAAAGGACCCTATGACCCTATTCCAACTGTCATGGCAGAACTATCCTGACCTCCCTAAACCCTCAAATACCCTCAATCCTGACTTCGGGCATGTGCCGGCCTCCGCCTCCGGCATAGCTCCGGCATCCACCGGCGGCGCGGTGAGCGCCTGCTCCTTGACGAAGCTACTCAGCACCTGAAGCCGACAAAAGGAGCTCCGACAGCTTCGAGCTTAGGGCTCAGGATTTATATAAGAGGGCTTAGGGTTCCTAAGGGTGCAGGGTCTCAAAGTGGTTTAGAGGGTTTAAGGTCTTCCTGTAATCAATAGGCACTATCCCCTCATAGTCATATTATCCCCTCAGAGTCCCTACTGTGATTACAGTATAACATCCCTTCCAAACCCTGTTCTCACTACTAAGGCCCCAGTGTTACTATGTTAACCCTCAACAGTACCTTTGCAAACTCCTCAATCAACTCTCTAAACGGTGTTGTTAAAGGTACACCTATTCTAACCACCACAGCCCCTATACTAAACCATAAAAAGTAACCCTTACACACCCCTGCAGCAGGAACCCATTTAAGAAACCCTAGACTATTCATAAACTGTTAAGGCCCCCTACAGAAACCAGAACCCTTCTAGACCCCTTTAAAGGGAACCGCCGTACTACTTATCAAGGCCATACATTCATACCAGATATTACCTTTATACACCCCTTTAACGGTACGCTTAAAAGAACCCCTATTTCAATAAGAAGGGCCCTGTACTCATCCGTTCTGGTAACTGTACTCAACAATTCTAGTAACCCTTGTAAAGCCCTTGAAACGAGGCCCTTTCAAGGAACCCCTATTGAAAAACATTAAGGCGCCTACATGAACCCCGAACCCTAAACCCTAAAACCTAAACAGTATTCAGCGCTCCAAGGAACTTTGCTGGTATCCTGAGAGGAACCCTGGGCCTCGTTCAGGCCGCTCTAACCCTTGCAGACCCCTTCAAAAGGACTGGGTTCTTGTTAAGGGGTTTAAGTTAACTTTAAAACAAGTTAAGGAAACCATATGATTTACTATAGATCCCGATTGTGGTAGGTTAAATTAAGCCCCTTTAGCGAGAGCCCAGAGGAAAACTTTCAGGAACCCTAAACTCTAATCCCTGCTCTACTTTCGTTGAGGCCCGTATATTGGTCATGTTATCCCCTTATGGCACCTGTTATAGATATAGTATCAGTTTAAAATACCACGACAAAGCCTACCAAAATGATTTAGGCCTCTACATTACAGATATAAGACAGCTTTTCCCCACACCCTACTCCCACTCTATTTTTCATGAAGGCCCCTCAAGAACCCCAAAACCCTAAACCCTATTCAATTAAGGCCCCTCCTAAACCCCAAACCCTGTACGCTTTTCATTGAGGCCCCTGAACCCTATACCCTATTCATGAACGCCCCTCCTAAACCTTAAACCCTAAACCCTATTCATTATAAGGCACCTCCTAAACGGCAAAACCCTAAACTGCACACCCTAAAACCCTAAAACCCTAAACCCTAAAACACTGTCATAAACCCTACACCCCAAAACCCTGTCCTTAGCCTTAAACCCTAAAACCCTAAAACCCTAGAACCCGAAAAGGCGCCTCGACCAGGCTGCAGGCATCCTTGGGCTTCTCGGCCTTGGGAAGCTTCAACCGGTTTAGGGCGAAGGGGAGAGGGCTTAGGGGTTTAGGGCTTTAGGGCTGTAGGGTTTTAGGGTTTAGGGTTTAGGGCGAAGGGGAGAGGGTTTAGGGGTTTAGGGTGTTAGGGCTTTATAGGGGTTTAGGGCCTTATAGGGGTTTAGGGGTTTAGGGTGTTAGGGCTTTATAGGGGTTTAGGGTTTAGGGCGAAGGGGAGAGGGTTTAGGGGTTTAGGATGTTAGGGCTTTAGGGGTTTAGGGCTTTATGGGGGTTTAGGGTTTAGGGCGTTAGGGCTTTATAGGAGTTTAGGGTTTAGGGCTTTAGGGCTTGAAAGGTGTTAGAGTGTTAGGGGTTTAGGGGTTGAGGGTTTAGGGCTTTAGAAAAGCCTCGGTTCACCCAAAGAGCTTAGAAGTTGAGGGTGTCGGTTTTTTTGGGGGGAGGGTTTGCGTCTTAGTTTAGTGAAGTGCTGTATGGTTTTAGGATTCAGGGGTTTCAGCCAAGGGTTTATTGGCATCGGTTTAAGGATCTGAGTCCGCCGGCCACCACTCTGTCGATGACCTTGCCCAGGTGCGCATAGACATCCTGCAAGCAATTGCTTGAAGCACGCCAGCTACTATCGGGGCCTGAATGAGCAGAAAAAAGCTTTGGGGAGTGCATTCCTTGCATCAGTATAGAGGGACTCTAGGGGATCCTAGTGGTAGAGATGTGACTGCAACCCGTACCCCCAGACCTCTTTCTTGAGGTAGGCCAAGTCAGCATCCACAGTGCCCATCTGCACAGCCGAGGCCAGTGGGGACTAAGGCTCAAAAGTGCCGCCTACACTGCAGAGCCTCTCCGGATCCAGGGATTGCACCACCTTTCCATCAAGGACTCAAGCACTGCATAGATCTTGTGTTTGTACATGCGAGTTCATATACATATACCCTAAACCCCAAACCCTAACCCCAGATTAACCCCAACCCTAAACCCTATACCCTAAACCCTAATCCAAGATTAAAACCCCAACCCTAAACCCTCTACCCTAAACCCCAACCCTAAACCCGATTAGATGCTAAGGGTTCCTTCAGCCCACCGAATGACGGTCGCGGAGGCGCCCGGCCTCCCCCGGAAGCGTTCAGCAGCTTTCAGGTTCCGCTGCTGTCTTCACGAGCCGAAACGGAAAGAGCCCGCAACTGTGCACACAGAGCTCTATCTATCTATCTATCTATCTATCTATATATATATATATTTAGATATATATATATATATATATACATATGTATGCATATGTATATTATATGCATATATATATATATATGATTAGATTTATGACTCTCTATCTAATAGATCTACGTATGTGTATATATATATATATATATATACATATATATATATATATATTACATAAGGGCACAGAACTTGAATTCAAGAGCTCTTCTGCCATGACAGGACCGGTATGAAATCATGCCTTTTCCACCCCGATCCGGCAGTCATACGGCAAGCCGCAGCATACAGCATGAGCAGGGGGTGTATGGCGTCGACGGAGTGTGGTGGCCTCCCAAGCCGGTTCAGCAGAACTGATGAGATCTTGACACAGTAGCTCGCCCGAGCTGCAGACGGGCACGTCGTGCCTACTGCTCCCAGAGGAAATCCTGCAGATGAAGTGACGGCATTCTAAACCTGCTATGCTAAACCCACTCGGTGGCGTGGGAATGAGAAATGTGGGCAAGAAGAACGTGGCAAGCATCATGATCATCATCATCATCATCACCATTACCATCAGTAGCATCAGCATCATCAACAACAACAAGGCACGTACGCCACTCGCCACCGTCCCGCACAGTCGTGCCATGTCAGGAACGCATGTGACTGGCACTGTGGTTTCGGTACAAACGGGCTCAAAAACAACCGTTCTCTTTCCTTTGCATGTGGTCATACTTTGCATGCTGGGGCATGGTGAGTGGACCAAGAACGGAATCAAGGCCGCCACCCGACCCCACTCCCGGCCCCCTACCCCCCACGCCCCACCCCAAGCTAGACAACCCCGGCAATACCGAGAAAAACTTTAACACACGCACACACACACAACCAAAGCACCAGTCAATAGGTTTTGGTCATGGATGCCCTGCCCTTCCCAAATAGCAATTGACCACGGAGAAGGCGAACAACGGCCGCAACCCCCCTTGACGACCTCGTGCCTTTTTGCGTCCGGGGAAGATAGCTTTGAGCAGAAGCAGAAACTGCTGTAATCACCACAGTTCTCCGCCTTTTCGACATCGAGAAAACGCCGTGAATTCCAGCATTTGGAAGACCCCTCTCGTCTCCACCTGCTCGAAAATGCAAAAACAAAACACTGCAAATACCGGTGAACCCGGTTCCCCCCCGAAGCTGGACATCCGCTCGCAAACCCCACCCGGGCGAAAGGTGCATACCTGTCGGGGCGCCGACTGGCGTGCATGTCAACCAGCACCAGCAGCAGCAGCAGCAGCAGCAGTCACCACTGCCACCACCACCACCATCAACAATATCAACAACAACACCACAACCCACACTGACAACAACACCAGCAACAAAAAAAACCAACCAACCAGCCACCCAACCACCCAACCACCCAACCACCCAACAAACCAACCACCCAACCACCCGATCACCCACCCACCCAACCAACCACCCAACCAACCAGCCATCCAACCATCCGACCATCCAACCATCCAGCCATCCAACCATCCAGCCATCCAACCTCCAGCCATCCAGCCATCCAACCATCCAGCCATCCAACCATCCGACCATCCGACCATCCAAGCATCCAAGCATCCAACCAACCAACCCACCAAGCAATCCTCACCCACCAACCCCCACCCACCAACCCCCAACCCCCAACCCCCCAACCCCCCAACCCCCCAACCCACCAACCCACCAACCCACCAACCCACCAACCCACCAACCCACCGACCAACACCAACCCACCAAGCAACACCAACCTACCCAACCAACACACCAACCAACACACCAACCAACACACCAACCAACACCACCCAACCAACACCAACCCACCAACCCATACCAACCCATACCAACCCACACCAACAGACACCAACCCACCAACGAACCCACCCAACCAACCCACCAACCAACCCACCTACCAACCCACCCACCAACCCACCTGGAGGGCTTGCTTCCCCGTTTGTTTCAGGAATCCCGCCACTGCATGGGAAAAACATTTGTCAGTCCAACAGAACCCGCTAGTACTCGGGGCAAATCCTTCTGGCCGTGCGTGAGAATCTTGGCTCCAGAATGGCTCCGTGCATGAAAAGCGCCAATACTCGGGGGAGAGCCGTTATCTCTGGCCCGGAAAGCACTCCGGCCGCGCCCGGGAAAGTCTCTTTCTTTTTGCTGGACACGCCATCTGATTTGGCAATTCCGGGTCATCATATTTCTTGAACATCAGCACTCATTATATATATATATATAGATATATAGATATATAGATATATAGGCATATATAGATAGATATATAGGTATAGATAGATAGATAGATAGATAGATAGATAGAAAGATAGACATAATAAGCATGCCCCTCATTTGCGATTCCGGGTCTTCATGTATCTTAAACACGACCCCTCATTTGGCGATTGCGGCATTTGCAAACCCAACGTACCTCTGTATCACGGGTTCTGAGTCGGTCCAAAGGGCTGTGCCATTGCCGGCAGGATGATGTTGCAAACAGAATGCCTGTATGATGGGCTTTGAAACTGCATAAAAATCTATAAGAATTATGTGATTGACACAATTCCTTTTGATGGCGTGATGTTTTTGACAGCAAGCCATGCGCGACAGAAAAAAGAAAGCGGAGGGGGGTTGGGATGGGGGGAGCACGAATTGAAAATTGTGAGGTTCGTTACTTTGCAGGGTCCCGATTTGCGCCAGGCTATTGGGAGTTGCAATTCCGAGGCTTTTGTCTTGCATCGTGCTATTAAGCAATCCTGATTTGCAGGATCTTGGTTTGCGCAATGCTACTGGGTAATTAGAGTGCTATTTTCGTTAGGTTTCTCCTTATATACTTATTATTTGTTTCAGCATGTCTTTCTGTCTTTTTATTTATTTCTTTTCTTCTGTTTTTCTTTGTGCGGTTCTGTCTTGATTTATTTATTTCTGTCCTCCCTCCACTCTATATTTGCTCCGTGTTTATTCGATCCCTGGGACGGGTGTCTCTGCTTCGTGCTGTTTAGTCTGTCCTGCTCTCGATTTTGCTTATAGAATGCGAACAACTTTCTGTCTTGGTCCCTTCAATAGTTTGGTTTTATAGTTTTTTGATCCCTAAAAAAACCTTATCCCCACCACCATCACCATCACAAGCATCACCACCACCACCACCACCGCCACCCACCATCGGCATCACTACGAATCTACGGGTCATCTCATCACGGTCCCGCAACTTATCAGGGTTTTCATGTCGCAGGCTGGGCTGCTCTTAAATGCCTAAACCCAAAACCCTTGACCCGAAACTTCAGAATCCACGTTGGTCTTTGCAGCACAACATCCTCGAGCCCGCAGCACCGGCCTGCCAGGAAGCTTTTCTCCCCTCGACGGGCCACTGGGTGTTCCTTGGTGTGCTAAGGGCTTCGGCACTCCAAGTCTCTAGGCAGCATGATTTAATTACTCCGCTGGGGGTCAGGGACATTCATTCTGATTGTTTCAACGGAGCCACAAAGGCCTTAAAGTTTCGATCACAAGCAAGAAGAAGACGAGGCTCCTTTCGGATTTAGGGCACGTCGGATATCAAGCTCCGGTTGAAACGGCTTGAAATTGAGCAATCACATCTAGGATGCGGCATAATATAGGGCCACAATCTTTGGGAACTCGCGTTTCGGTGCTGCCATGTTAAGCGTGGGGTGCGCTGAAGCTTCGGGCCATGACCGAGAATTCTGCTACATCTTGAAACTTTCAATGGGTCTGAAATTGCATGGGAGAGATGCCGGGAAACTACCAATGCATTTTTAGTAGAGCATAGCCCCAAACCTTGAACTAGAGCACAACTCAATCACCTGCCGTCAAGACTCCAGGTCTGAAAGATTCGAAGCGATGTCAAGGGTGCACGAGCATTCGGCCATGCACCGGGGATGCGGCGTGCGCAATACCTTGCTCCCAGCTTCGCGTAATCGCTTCCCACTATTATTAAAG